AATAATTAAATTAAATACAATAATTTTAATTGAACTTCTAGTAATATGTATTAATGTTTTGTATATTATTTTGCTGATGTTGTAGAATATAATTTGTCAATTACAGACAACAAAAATTCTTCTGAAAATATTCTATCTTTAACTACTAGTGTATATATATATATCATATGCTGCAGATATTAGCATATCTTTTTAAGATTCTATAAGCTGTGAGAGTTCATATCCAAGACCTTCATTTTCATTCGTCATACTTCAGTTACAGTCCTTTTCCTATTAAGGATTATTTAAACCATGTGTTGTGTGTTATGGTATTTAAAAATGATTCTTTAATCAAAATAACTTTAAAACTACTAATCCTTACTTAGATTGGTCAAGTGAATCCACATAGTGGTACAGGAAAAATAAATCTACTCTCAAGAATGCAAATGCAGACAACAATTAGACACAGATGTTGGTGAAATTAGTTACAATTTACAAAATGCTACACTTTACATGCTTTCAGTTTTTTATGCAGGATGCGAAATTACAGTGCAGTGAGTAACTGCACTTAGGATGCCCAGCTTTTGGAAAGCAACATATGTATGAATAGCGTTTCACCGTTACTGCTACTTTAATATGTCTGCATCTACTGTCATCTAATACAGCCTTACCAACAAAGTATATGGTCTTCTATGGCTCATTAATTATTACACAAGTAGGAAGATTACAGCAATAATTAAAATCTACTCAAGAAAGAATACTTTAAAAATGGGAGGGAGAATTGCTACAATGAGCAAATGCCATGCACAGGGAAATCAGGCCAACAATATTTTAAATAAAACTTTCTGCTCCTTACGAAAAATCACATGATTACTACTTAGGAAGTGGCTTTAAAAGGCTAAAAAATGTTTGACTAACATTGCCTCTTAGTATTTCTAAAATGAAAAAGAAAGGATTGTGATGGCAAAGCTACTAGCATCTTAAATAACACCAAAATGACACTTAAGTATCTTAAAGCAGTAACGTCTAATTCTGATTAGTTAATGAGATCTTTTAATTTTGGTTTTTTTCTAATTAAATTTATAATTCTTCACAGATGTAGGTTTTGTTGATGTTCAATTTGTCGCTCTCATTTTGTTAAACCTCACATAGTACTCCACCAATCCACTGAATAGCCACATTAAATCTGTTAATACCATGCTCTTCAACCCCAGAAATTATTTCCAGAAGGCAAACTTGCTTTGAGAGATCATCAAACAAGACTTAAGGTACACATTTTATCACATTTTCCCTACCACAGAGCTCAAGATGCAGGAGAAAATTCATGACTTTTGCACTGTTTATTATACTTTGGTAAATTACAAATCAAAAGCATCTGACAGAAAATCATGTATGAAGCCAAAAAGTTAATAATGTTCTGTGAAAAGTAAACTGTAAATGGGAAGGGATTCTAAATCTCAGCACCATAGAACAAATAAAATGTAGGTACTTGTCTAAATTATTGGTTTTCCAGACTTTTTTTCACTTGCTAGAAGCAATTCTTATAAAATGACTATAATTTAGAACATTTCTTCCAGCTGGAAGAAAAAAATCAAAGTAAAAAATGCTATGCTTATTCAAACAAATATAGCTCACATGTGAGTTAGTAACTTACTTTCAACCACAGTTGTGATCTAAACCAGAAATCGTAAAGACAATGGGAACTTTCTAATCATATTTTTTTATATCTGAAACTGCATTTCCCCCCGCAAAGTTAACATCTTCAACATAAAACATTGACAGAAATGGAAATAAAAAAATGAAGAAAACCACAATTCTTAACTTCAGTATTTTACAAAACCCTGCCAATCTTCAATAAGGGCTACCTCCAAATGCTAAAGTATTTAAATGCACTTTTTAAAACCATGTGCTTTAAAAATGTAACCATATTATTAAAACTAGATTAAATTAGTGCATCAATCCCCCAAACAGATTATAATGATAATCTCCCTAAATACATCTGAAATTTTGACATATCACTGAAATTTAAAAACAGAAGACATATGTCACTGTGACAATGCTTCTGAAACAACATAAATGTAACTTTGAAGTTGCAATCTTAAAGTCTCTTATTTTGTACACAATGGTACTTACTTCCAAGTAAACATGCCCAGCATTGCATTGTATGTTGCACTTTGTGTAACAACTTTTTAGTTACTATTAAACATTCAACAAAACCCCACTCATTTGGATCTGTGTTAACCCCTGCTGCGACCACCACAATTGAAACAATGGCTTGCTTTTTTTAAAAAAATCTGTCACTGTGCTGGGTTTTCAGCTTCCTAAAGCTAAAGATAGGTCATTAAGCAACAAAGCTGAACCTCAGGTAATGCCAAAATTCCATTAATATGTATTTCATACACACGCAGCGTCATGCATTTATGAAATCCATAATTCTCTTGAGGCTAGTAGAAAGAAACCTCCAAGAAACCTTAAAATGCAGATTCCAGAAAGTATGCATGAAGGGGAGGGGGAAGAGAGACAAAAAAACAAAACAAAACAGTCACACACACACACACACACCCATTCTGATGATCTAAAAAAAATTATCCTAAAGCTGACCATCTGGACTTTCCTTTCATTAAAAGATAAACTTACATTTATTATTGGCTTTAAAAGTGACTTCTGCACTCCCCCATTAAAGTGCACCTAAAATTTGGGCTCGAGGGTAATTTTATATAATTTGATGTCTGGTTGTTGTTTGGGGGTTTTTTAAAAAGAATATTTTGACGTTCATAAAACAGCTTCAAGAAAAACATTCTTATAAATTTCGTGAGTAAGGAGATTCATAAACATGATGTAAAGTATGCTTGGGCTTTAAAGAGGTCGTTTCCTAATTCGAAGTGTTGAGTTTCCAGCAGTACCTAACGTCATATATAATATTGTCAGGGAGCTGTTTATTTTGCCATTTTGATAAAGCCCTCCTTTAAGGTTCAGCAGAGCTTTGCCAGCATTTAAACATATTAAGCAGGATTTCCTGCTTCGGCAAGAGCTGTCAGTCTCTGCCATATGTCCCCCTTTCTCTGTTCTTCTGAATTCTTGTGCCTTTTAGCCAGGTCTATAAAAATTCATGGAATATATATATGATCACTCAGCATTGTGTTCTTTATTTTCAGTGGCCCTCGAACACTTTAGAAAACCCAAATACAAGGCACAAAACGCAAGTTGAACACAAATAAAGAGCTGAGAGCCATGTAGCATCTGATTTGTGGGGAGGCTACGAAGCGAACCGAGAAACACAATTAACTGCAAAAAGTGACGTATATTAGATATTAATTGGAGGTGGGAGTTGGGGGGGGAGATAGAGAGAGAGAGAAAAAAAAGAAAGAAAGAAAGAAAGAAAGAAAGAAAGAAAGAAAGAAAGAAAGAAAGAAAACGTGCAGGAGATCCAGGCGTGGAAGATTACTGAGATTCTTGGAAAAGTACAAACTTGTTTTGCAAACAGGCCACGGACGAAGGTGCTTTTCGTCTGAAAGCAAAAACAAAAAAAAGTGTCCTCTCTCCCTGTTTTGCAAGATGGGGCAGCTGTTGTCAAATCCATGCAGTTTTTGAAACAGCCGGGTTCGTACTTACAGTGAACGGCTTTGCTGCATCCACCAAGTATTATGGGCTGCCTTCACGCTGGCGCTTAACTTAAAGCCCAACCAACCGTTGCTCACATAGTTTTGTTTTGGTTGGTTTTTTTAAATTCCTGGGTGAAAAGCTCTCTCTCTATATATATATAACCTGCCCTGGTTTGGGCTTAAAAAAAAAAAAAGTTTTTACTTTTTATTTTATTTTTTAAGTTCCCCCTCGACCAGAAGCGCAGCTCAGCCTGGAGGGAAAAAATCCGAGTTGAGAGCAGAGGGTGGCTGAGGAGCGAGCGAGAGACTGACTGGACTGACTGACTTCTGTTGCTGTTGCTGCTGCTGCCGCTGCCGCCGCCGCGGGCTGTGCCTGCCAAGCGAGTGTGTGTGTGTGGGGGGGGGAGAGAGAGAGAGAGAGAGAGGTGGGGTGGCTGTGGGGATTGGAGCTGAGGGAGGGCGCTGTGTCTTCGGCGAAGAAATTGAAAACAGCCACCGAGGGCTTTCCCAGGAAGGCTTAAAGTCGGAAGTGGCACCGAGGGGCCCGTCTCCGGCAGCGGCAGCACCCAGCTCTGAGGAGGAGGACGCCGCCGCCGCCGCTCCGAAATTCCCGCTCAAACGCCGCTTCGGGAAGAAGCCGCGGCGCGCGCGCTCTCTCTCTCCCGCTCGGCTCCTCAGCGAAGGCGGCCGGAGATATTATCTGTGGGGAGGCTGAGCAGACAAAAGAGCAGCAGCCCAATCTTCATTTCTTCCCCCTCTCCATATAGGTGGTTTTATATTTTATTTTTTTGCCCAGTCTTGTAGGTCTGCCTCGAGGCTTCTCTCTCTCTCTCTCTCTCTCTCTCTCTCTCTCTCTCTCTCTCTCTCTCTCCCCTTCTCCCCCTTTTGTTTATTTGTAATGCAAACCGCAGCTATTCTCTTGTCCTTAAAAAATAAATAAATGCTAACACAATCGAACCGAGAGAGCCCTGGGCTGGCTTGCCTCAGAGGCAAACCTTTGCTGGCGAGCAGTTTGGGTATGCAAATGAAGGATCCCGCGGTATGTGAATAAACAGCTGTGGGGGAAGAATGCGGCCCGAGCGCGCCCTGTCAAGAAGCGCGCGGGATTTCTCTCCCTGTCTCTCTCTCCCTCCCTCTCTCTCTGCTGCTGCTGCTTCTGAGGCACCATCACCACCAAACCATTTATAGCTTCGGAGAGGAGGCACGGGAAAAGCCAGATCTGCACCTTCCGAGCGAGAGAGAGCATAATTAGCTTTCCTCAGCCGAGAGCCTTGGGGGATATGGGGGGGGGCGGCGGGGGCGGATTTAAGCCCCTCTGAACGGGGCAGTTTCTTTTAAGTGAGGTTTCTTACGAGAAGCCCGAAGCGGACGACAAAACGCGGGATCCAGCCGGGAGAAGCTTCATAAGGAAGGGGACGATCCAGTCCACTCTTTACAAAAATAATAATAATATCACGCAACATTCACGTCTGAACTCGACTTGGGCGCGCGTAGCAGATTCGTCCTCTGCTGCGTAAGGAAAGGGGCAAAAATATCCACATAAAAAGTCAGTTCAGAAATATTTAACCTACACTAAACCCTGCCCTGTGCCAACATCAAGCAATCTGACACGATAACCACAAACCTTTCAACAGTTCATAATGTGCAGATACAAATGATGGTGGGCAAAATGAATCATTTAAACACACTTCGACTTGGATTTCATTTTTAGAGCAATTGCACCTCATCCTTATTCATACTTGGTGGTGCACAGTGTCTTTTTACATTAATTGTGTTTTTATCTGTCCTTTGTGTACATAAAAACTCAGGCTAGGAAAGAATCTAGTGGGAATATTTTTGGTAACTGATGTCTTTTTAAAAGAATGATATTTTAATACAATTACCGTTCTTCGAAAAATCGAACTACACATCACCAGAGAAGCAGAGTTATTCTGAGCTATTTAAACCAATCTCACCATAAGATATACATTTATAAATAAGCACAGCCTCCTCCACAATACAAATAATTTTCTCACAAGGAGATAAACACTGAATTGTACACATAGCTTACTTATACAAGTTCAAATACCCTAACTAAAACTGGTTTCCGACTCACATTCATAATTTTGTCTCAGAGTCTGTTATCATATATTGAGTATAGCCTTACCTTCCATTGACAAACTTTGTGATTGAAAACAACTCTCATAAATAGAAAATACCTTCTGGCTGCAATGTCCAGCTGATGCACATTCTGAAGAAAATCTATCAATAAAACTTTCCACCAAGCAAAAAAGTTGTGCCTAACAGTCTTAAGCTGATACACCAAGGGTCTCTATTTGCTTAGCGCTGGCAAAAAAATAAATAAAAAAAATCATGGGATAGACACCTACCATATATGGAAGGTTAAGGTCAAAATCCACATATTTCTATTGGATCTGTTCATGGAGCCAGTATAAACAGAGATGCTTGCCTTCTTTATATCGCTTAAATGTCATACTCAAAGTGTTCTTTATAATGGTTCATTAAACTGCACTAGAAATAAATTTATTTGCAATATTTTAATTTTATTAGGCAAGATTTTACTAAAATGAAATCCTTATATTTACTATGACACAAGGAATAGCCATTGCTTTGGGCTTTATTTTCATTCTAAGCAATCTGTTAAAAGAATATGTTATTTATGTTTATCAGCATAAATTTGTTTCTCCAGCACACTGTTAAAATGAGAACATTAGAAAAGTTGGTACACATTGTATGTAGATAACTATTAAACCTTGCTTTCTTCCCCAGAAACACACAACTGCTGGAAATAATTTTGCAAATATGCAAAGAATAAAAAAGTGATGTAATGTACCAAGCCTGATATATTTCTACTATACAAATACAATACTAACCCAGTCTCCCCCCCCAAAATACAGTTTTATTAACTACATTAAGGCTGCAAGCCTACATACACTTACATGGGAGTAAGTTTTACTGAACTCAGTGGGGCTTACTCCCGAGTAGTCATGTATCAAATTGCTCTTTCAGAAGTTTTACAATAGATACTAAAGCAATTGCTTTCCATGGTTAAAAATTTGTACTGAAATCATTTGAAGGTTACACGATGAATTCAGTCTGAATGTATCCAATGTCAAAATCATTTATACTCAAATATGTATTTACAGTGGTTGACAGACAAGTAGCTAATTTTATGTACAAGATAGATATATTCAAGTCTGGAAAGACTAATCTACCTTGGATTTGCAAGAGATTCATTGGTGAACATTTTAATAATCCTTTAGTAAAGCATTCATTCATACTTCATACAGTGAGTGGAAATATAAAGGATCATAGCTTTGTAGGTCTGTGTTAAACTCCTGATCTGACTATTTGTATATAATTATTTGACAAAATGCCAGTAGAATCTGAAAAAAATACCTGTTTCAGCATAAGCATTCCTTTTTAAATGTAATTTACAAACCACAGATTTGCTATTGGAGGCCAATTTTTCAGCAAGGGTAAAATAAGCTCTGTTTGATTTCACTATGAGCCTTATTTATATTATCTGAAGCGCCCTTCTTGACTTTATATGAGCAGATTCCTGGGTTCTGCATAGGGAAATGTGTTAATTTTCATACATTGTTTCTGCTCTTAATGTCACCAAGGTCCAATCAACCTTCTCCAATTCACAGTTCTTGCAGGCAACTTATCTGGCACTAAATTATATTAATATCAGTAGGACTTAATCCAACACATGCATTTAAGATCAAGGTGTTGGACAATGATCCTGAAACTTTATAGCCTGTGATCCCAAGCAAGGACATGCTCTTCTACTAAAATCAATGGAAATTATTTCTTTATATGCCTTTTTAAGCTTGAGAAGTCTGAAAAAAGCATTCTAAAATCCCACTGACATGCTACATATTATTTATTTGTCTAATAATTTTTCAGACATGTTACTGGAGAAGACTCCTCCTGAGGAGACATAGCTGGGGTTTTGTTTTGTTTTGTTAAAAAAATACAAAATACAATAAAGCAATAAAAAAGTCAAATGGTGTCAATTTTTTTAAAACCACCCTCCAATTCAGAAATTTCCAAGCAGTTCACAATAACTCATAAGACAGTATAATAACATTAATCAATAAATATAGCAGAGAAAAAGTTTTTTTTTAATTCAAATCACATGCCAACTGCTGGTTTGAACTAGAAGTTTTCACCTGACTCTTAAAAATATACAAGGAAGAACTCTAGCAGGCTCCTCTAGGAAAGGAAAGCATAGAGCAGGCCCCACAACCAAGAAGGCCCTGTTGTATGTCCTTCCCAACAGACACAGAAGTTGGTCCTCTCCTGCAAATCTCAGCAAATGAATTTCGAAAGCCGAAGAGTTTGATATTTAGCAGCATTTTGCATCACTTGCAAAAGGTGAAATAAAGGCAATACATTTGCTTAAGGCATCTTCAAATTATATCCTGCCATCTCTGAAATCCTTAAAGAGCAATTTACTCCATAAATAGTCCTTGTTTCACAGAATCTGGTAACTATGTACTGGAATGCAAATCTTGCAGTAGGCAAATGTTACAAATTACTCCCCCCCCCACTCATCTTAAGGAGCTGATTTAGATACCTTCAAAAGATTGTTCATTCCCAGTGTGATATTCTAATTTTTTTTTATCTTTGAACAGAAGCCCTCAAAGCTGTATCAAAAAACTGCTTTTGAAACTCCACTGTGCATAATGGATCTTGACTCTCCTAGTAAGAAATACATGTCAGAATATGTGTGTGTCTCATACTCAGAGTAGACCCACTGACATTAATAGACATGAGTAATCTCATTCTGAATATGAATAATGTTGGCTACAACTATGATTCTATGAACCCATAGTTTTGATGTTTGAATCTTTACTCTCTGTTCCTAAATTACTTAACTTGATCCACCAAGGCAGATCATGTGTATGGAACCATAATTGCACATATGCCAATGCAGTTAACAAAAGGAAGCAAAAGCAATAGCTCTGCATCAGATTTTGGATGCACCTTGATTGGTCAAGAAAGTGGTTCTCATCTTCATTTGCAACTTCTCACCCTATCCTAATCAATGTAATACAGGAGACTGTGTGCTTCACCAAAAAACATTGGTTTTTGGTGTTAGAAGTCAAGGAAGAAATTCTTTATATCATGGTTAGGGAACCTGTGGACTGTAACTCCTATCAGCTTCAGCCAGCATAGCAAATGGTCAATGATGGTGGCAGCTTTAATCCAACAACACCTAGAGAGCCACAGATGCCCAGTCCTAGCTTTATATTAATTAATTAATTTAGAATTCTTGACAACAACTTTTTAGTCAAAAGACTTTCAGAGTGGGTTGCATCCATTAAAACCTCTAAAAATGAGGCTTTGCGTCAGATGAATCTTCTTGGGAAACAATTCTATAACCTGGGCATCACAAAATACAAGTTTCACCACCCATATTTCCTCTAATGATAGTGAGACCTGAAGAAGAGCTTCCAAGGAAAATTATAATAGGAAAGTTCATGTGGGGAAAGATGGCCTTTCATGTAGTTTAGGCAGCAGTTTGTGGCTTTCCTTGGGTCTTTCTCTGGAAATCTTAAAACACACCAACACTCCATGTAGTAGATCTATTGTTTCCTTCTTTTTAGATCCGTCTACCTGGCTCTATGCTTGTAATAACAGCAAGATCTCTGGCAACTGACAGCTCTTTACTTACACTTGAGGAAAAGGGGGACAAGGAACTCTAGTTATTGGAAAAGGCTCACTGGGATTTAGTGATAAAATGTGCAAGCCACTGTCTGCAGTAGAGTTTTGAGGTTGAGAAGGCACGGCTATGTCATTGTATGTTCACTATAATGTGACCTGATATCAAAACAATGCTCTTGGAGTCTGTAGGTATTGTCTGTGTCACGCCATTGTAATTCCATCAAGTAAAACATCTTTTATTAGCTTTAAAAGCACTAGTTCTCTCAAACACAATGTTTGTGTCACCGTAGAAATCACTTAATAATGAACAATAAAATCCAGTTCAGAGCACACAGATTCAGTTAAGTAACTTTATTCTTTTGCATAGTTCCACTAGGGTCTAAAGCTCCTGAACCAAGCATTGTATACTACTTAAATGACTGTAAGACCAAGATGAAAACAGATCAGGAACATTATAGGCTCCATACAAACACTGTTGATAATGATTTATATTAACATTTTAATGCATTCTCAATATGAGAGGGGGAAAACATAATATAATAATCATTTGCTACATGAGTTGACGGTAATTTGGTTATTCATTTTAATAAAGCACTCAACACAGATAATAAGCACGCTTTGTGACTAGATCATAATTATTATGGGTATATGCTTCCAAATACATTTAATTGTGTGAAAAACAACAGATTGAATTATACTTCCTAGAATAATCAGATCTATTCCAATACTTTATTGGCTCCTTGGCCTTCACAAAAACTATAAAAACAGAAGTTTTGCATGCATGTGGTTATGAAATGTTAGCTAGCCTTTTAAAAATTACTTTGAAATCAACAATAAAACAGATTATTTTTCTTTGTAAAATTGAATAAAAATTAGCAATGTGTGTAGTGCAGCCAAGGCTAAGTACTTTTAAGGCTGCAATCCTATATACACTTACCTGGAAGTAAGTCCCATTTAACTTAATGAGGCTTACTTCCGAGTAAACATGCACAAAATTATACTGTAATACAGGGTTTTCTAGAATTCAGTCATTAATTTCGGAGAGTCTTAAGCAAATGCTTAACTGTCATCAAAGTCAATTGTATTTTTAAGTGCCTAACTTGGACTGAATTGTACTTGGTGGCCTAAAGTATTTTCTTTTTTCACCAAGGAAAGAGTTAGGCAGCTATTTCAGAAAAGTACATTGCTGCCCATGACATACATTTCATTAATTATTATTTCCAAGAGTGTTGCTTACAGTACTCTTCCCTGGAGGCAATTTAAGGCTGTGCAACCAATTTGTCCAAATACAAACTGAACCAGCCAATTTGTACAGATTTGTGCCAAATTTGGATCAGATTGACACAGCTACAAAACACTACAGAGTGGGTTGCATGTGCCCGAATAAATTTGTAACAATTCGTGCCAGTCTGAATCTAAATATTAGTATCTCTAAAGCAAGACAGTCTCCACTGCTGTAATTATTAAGCACGCCATATAAGAAGAATGCTGGGTGGGGAGAGGAAGGAAAGCTGGACAGCTCTAGCTTCCAATCCAGGGCTAGAATCTCACCAAATACTCTCCAATCACAGTGCTTGGACAGAGGGATGGTGGTGTCAAAATGCAGCAAGCTCACCTCTCTTTTAATAAGTTCTGTCTCTTAGGTGTCAATCAGCCAAAGGCCTGGTTAAAGAGGGACATTTTTTCCTGGCGCCTAAAAGGTGTATAATGAAGGCGCCAGCCAAACCTCCCTGGGGAAAGCATTCCACAAATGGGGAGCCACTGCAGAAAAGGCCCATTCTCTTGTTTCCGCCCTCCCGTTTATTAGTACTTTTGTGTGTGTAAGTCTTGTAAGTACATTGTACACCAGGGGTCAGCAAACTTTTTCAGCAGGGGGCCAGTCCACTGTCCCTCAGACCTTGTGGGGGGCCGGACTATATTTTGGAAGAAAAAAAATGAGCGAATTCCTATGCCCCACAAATAACCCAGAGATGCAATTTAAATAAAAGGACACATTATACTCATGTAAAAACACACTGATTCCTGGGCTGTCTGCGGGCTGAATTTAGAAGGCGATTGGGCCTGATCCAGTCCCCGGGCCTTAGTTTGCCTCCCTATGTTGTACACAGTCAGTGCACAAGCAGCACATGCAATGCAATAATACATGCATGAGTGTATTTTTTATTTTTATTTTTGAGTACACACACACACACACACACACACACACACACCTGGAACTACCCATTTTGAAATTTGACAGGATTAATCCCTTCTTGAGGGGCAACCGTATATCCCAAGTCCATGCACCAATGTTAAAAACAAAGAAAGTTATGGCTGTTTTGGTTTCCCATTCCAAGTCAATGGCATTTCAGATTATTTGTTTTTTCCTACACTGTGGTTTGGATCTGTGCGTCAGGTCAGGCTGGATCCTGATTGCCCCGAGTCAGGGCTGGTATAAATAGCTGAATCAGGCTCTGAATCAAATTGTGGGGCTTGGGGGGGGGGGAGATGCACAACCACACAACCCAGATCCAATGCAGCAATGCCATTGATTTTTCAGTGTAGTCTGTATTGCAGCACATGGTGGAGAAAAGCACATGCTTAATTTGCTGCTATTGCAACCAATCATTTCAGTTTGGATAGTTCATGCCTGGTTATTGTTTGTTTTGGGGTGGATGAACAACACCATCTTGTAGAAGTGGCAACTGTAAATGACAAAGGAGAATGTCCGAATTAAAAGTATAGTTAGATGGATCACTTGCTGTATACTTCCCCCCACCTATTAATTGGTTAATTCCAATTAACCATAGTGACTCACTTGAATACTTCATATCATATACGTAATATTATTTTAATTGTATTTACCAGAGATCCATTAGTTTGCCATTGAATGTCAAAATTCCAACCAAAGTCAATGCAAGCAGGATTTGATCTCAGAGTTAAAGTGTAATGATTACACAGTGGCTGAAATTTGTCCTTTAAATTTTTTAATAATGATGAAAAAAATCTAATGAGTTATAATTGGAGAACAATGGTAGGGGTGGAGGAATCCAGCAGCTTCAAAGTTTTACCCCTCCTCCTTCGTTCCAGCAGCATTAGCTCTTTTTCTTCAGTCTCACAAATCGGAAAAAGAGTAACCTCTAAAGCTGTTTTAGACTGAAGGTCAGAATTCAAAGGGCTGGTAACTTAATCCACAGAACACTACAATCACATTGCTATTGGAAACACACTGAGGAGTATTTGCATTCTTGAGGCTTATATTAAGCAATGTCAGTAAGTATACAACCTGTACACAGTACATTTATACATATACATACATATCACACACACACACA